TTTGTACTTTGAAGAATATATCTCTAAGAAATAATTATTTAGAATAAAATAAAACTTTGATGATAATTCTCTAAAGTTCATTATTGGTGGTGGTGGTGGTGGTGATATGCCATGGAGTCGGTTCCGTTTCACAGTGACACTGTACAGGGTTCCCAAGGCTATAAATCTTTACAGGAGCAGAAAGCCTCATCTTTCTCCCGCAGAGTAGCTGGTAGTTCTGAACTGCTGACCCTGAGGTTAGTAGCCTGATTTGTAACCATTATGCTACCAGAGCTCCTGAGGTGTTAGTAATTAAATGTTATGTATTTATAATTTGACATTGCAGAAAGACAGGCACAAGCACTTCTAAACAAAGCACGCTTATTTGCTGACAATCCAAATAATTGTACACTTTTTATTAAAAAGCTGTTATCAGAAATCAGCCCTTTTCTTATGTCCTACGATTTATGTTACTATAAGAAAATGCAGTACTAAAATCCAGTTTTACTTGGTGCAAAGGAATTGATGAAATTTATCTTTTTAATTCAGACACAAAATTGACAGAAATTTAATTATTTTTATACAAATGCTTAAAATACCTCATGATGTATCTGACAAATGACTCAGATCTAGAATATATGAATAATTCTTACAGCTCAATTCATTTAAAAATGACTTCAAAAAGATTTGAACAGACATTTCACCAAAAAAGATACACAGATGGCAAATAAGCATTTAAGAATGAACTATACAGCTGAAGTATAAGATCCATTAAGGGACTCCGACTCTAATTTGGACTCCTGGTGTGATGCTTGCTGTAGGATCAGCACTGGACTTTGAACCACAAGGTTGGCAGTTCAAATCCACCAGCTGCTCCAGGAAACCATATATAGGGTCGCTATGACTCAAAACTAACTTGAAAGCATTTAACAACAATTCTGGTGGCACAATGGTTAAGTGACTGCTAACTGAAAGGTCTGAGGTTCAAATCCACTAGCCACTTCATAGGAGAAGATGTGGTTGGTGGTTACAGTCTTGGAAACCCTATGGGACAGTTCTATTCTGCCCTATAGGGTCAGTATGAGTAGAAATGAATCTCTGGTAACAGATTTGGTGTTTTGTTTTATCAGGGTGAGAGACCAGGACAGTAGTAGTGAAGTGCAAAAGAAAAACACAGTAATATACCATTTACATCCACCAGAATAGCTAAAATTTAAAAAGACCGACTATACCAAATATTGAAGTCCTGGTGTGGCACTGTGGGTTAATGTGCTACATTATGCTACAATATGCTACAAATGACTCCTACAAAGTCATTTGAATCGCAAGGTGGGCAGTTCAAGCTCACCAGTCACCCCAAGGAAACCTTTATACAGGGTCACTATGGGTCAGAACTGAGTCGGCAACACTTAACAATAGCAGCATACCAAATATTGACAAGGATGTGAAGCAACTGGAGCTGTACTGAGAGAATATAGGATAATATAATCACTTCAGAAAATAATTTGGTAATTTCTTAAAAGCCAAACATACATCTACCATACAAATCAGCCATTTGACTGATAGGTATTTATACAAAAAATAAATAAAAGTCAAATGTCCACACATGAATGTTCACGGTATCCCTTATTTTTAAAAGGCTTAAACTGGAAATCATTCAACTGTTCATCAACATTTAGACTTTCATTTCTTATCATCCAGCAAAATATCTATTGTATTGGTATCTCTCAGATTTCTAATCTTCATCTCAAACCTAATATGCCCACTAAAACACCTGATTCTGGCCCTACTTACACTCACAAACCTCAATAAATGGCAATTTTATGCTTTTGGTGGTTCAGGCAAAAACCCTTGCCTTCCTTGTCTTTGTACTTAATGTTCTTGCTCCTTAAAAGCATTCTTCCCTCCAGATACATACACTTTACTTTCTAACTGTCTTCAATTATCTGCTTGAAGTTTATCAAAGAGGCTTTTCATGACTATCTTCTTCTCTAAAATACCATGTGTGTGCACCTACCTACTCACAGAATTCTCCTATCTTCCTTTTATCCTATACTTTTACTGATCTCAATAGTCATTTATGACTACCTAATTTACTTTGCAACTTTTATGGATGCTATTTATTGGTCCAGTGGTAAAGATTTCTGTTTTCTTTACATTGAGGTATAACCCATACCAAAGGCTATGGTCTTTGATCTCCATCAATAAGTATTTTAAATCCTCTTGGCTTTCAGCAAGCAAGGTTGTATCATCTGTATATCACAGGTTGTTAATGAGCCATCCTCAAATCCTGATGCCACATATTTCTTCATATAATCCAGCTTCTCTGATTATTTGTTAGCAATTATATCCCTCGTTCCACGTCCTCTTCTGAAACTGGCTTCAACCTTTGGAAGTTCTCTGTCAGTGTAAGCTTGCAGATGTTTCTGTATCACCTTTAGTAAAACTTTACTTGCATGGAATGAATATCAGTGATGTTGTCCAATGATTTCCTCATTCTGTTGGGTCACCTCTCATTGGAATGAGCATAAATATGGATCTCTTCCATCCAGTCAGTTGGCCAGGTAGTTGTCTTCCAAATTCCTTGGATTTTTTTTTTTTTTTTTTTTTTGTCTTTTCAAGTTTCATTTTGCTTGGATCAACCATCAACATTCATGGAAGCAGCAGTCAGGAAATCAAACGACATATTTATTACATTGGGCAAATCTGCTGCACAAGAAACTGTTAAGACAGTTTTGAGTGACAACACACTAAGTGAAGAATATTTGGTTGGCATTAAGTGTTAACATTTTTTGGCATTGTATTTTAAGATGTGTTCCTATATGAATCATTTGATTGAGTCACTTCTCTTACATTCATCTCAGTTTAATACATTTATTTTTACACTGTCAAGATTTAATGAAGTTGTTTTTCAAGTATATAAAGTGGATGTTTATAAATTTTTAAAGATTTTTTTTTAATTCCCTTCATGGGGGGAAAAAAATCTTCATTTTACAGAAAATTAAACATCTGTATTCTGCCTCACTGTAAGCCGACAACATTCCCACCGGTTAGAGAAACACAGGTAAGATTTGGTCATTTTGATTTAATTACTCCACAGCAATACTTGTTACACTTAATTTTACTGATACAATTTAGTTAGTCAACAAACTGTTATGTTCCATTGAATAAGTTCTGATCCCAGCAATCCTATGCAAACACAATGAAATGATGCCCAGTCCTGTGCCATCCTCATAATTGACCCCATTTCTACTGCCACTGTGCCAATCCATCTCCTTAGAGATCTCCCTCTTTTACACTGACTCTCCACTTTAACAAGCATGATTGATGTCTTTCTCCAGGTACTAGTCCCTCGTGATAACATGTCTGAAGTATGAGAGACGAAGTCTCACCACCCTAGCTTCGCAAGAGCATCCTGGCTGTGCTTCTTCCAACACAGATCTGTTTGTTCTTTTGGCAGTCCATGGAACCTTCAATATCCTTCTCCAACAACGCAACTTAAATGCATTCACTGTCCAACTTTCACACGTATATGAGGGTACTGAAAATATCAAGGGTTGGGTCAAGCACACCTTAGTCCTCAAACTGGTATCTTTGCTCCTGAACACTCTACAGCAGATTTGCCTAAAAGAATAAATTGAGTTTTTGACTGTTGCTTCCATGAGTGAAGATGGTAGAGCCAAGAAAAATTTAAGTCTTTGACAACTTCAATCTTTCCTCCATTTATTGTTCCTGTTGTGAGGAGTTTTGTTTTCTTTATATTAGGTGCAACCCATATATACCGAAAGCTGTGGTCTTTGCTCATCATCAGTAAACATTTAAAGTCCTCTTCAGGTTTCAGCAAAGAAGATTGTATTATCTGCATATCACAGGTTGTTAATGAGTTTTCCTCCACTCCTGATGCCATGTTCTTCTTCATATAATCCATTTTCTCAGATTATCTGCTCAGCATACAGACTGAGTAAGTATGGTGAAAGAATATAAGCCTGGAGAAAGAACAGCTCTTCTGATTTTAAACCAGTCAGTGTCTGTTCTGTTCAAATGACTATCTCTTTGTCTATGTACAGGTTCCTTCCTCACGAGTACAACTAAGTGCTCTGGAATATCTATTTTCGCCACAATGTTGTCCATAGTTTGTCATGATCCACACAGTCAAAGCCTTTGCACAAGCAATAAAGCACAAGTAAGTATCTTTCTG